TCACGGAAAGTCCCAGTGGTAGCGAATTTTCAACTTGCTGATGAATATATTGGTTCCATAAAAAGGCGAGATTTCTTCAGAAGCTTACTTGCTATCATTATTCCGCTAGAGGGAGTTAGTAATATGATTTCGACAGTCGAAACGTCGGTCTGCGCTAAACGAATCCTGAGGACCAAGGACCTCTACTAGACACACGCATTACTGTAAACCGCGTGACGCCAACAAAACCACATCTCCCGAGGGATGTTTAGTGGTGATAAAGCTTTATATTAGGGAGAGAGGAGATATGCCCTATGTTTTTATTAGACACCGCTTATTGCTAGATATAGTCTGAAAGCATCTAAAAAGAAAATCTCTACCCTCTGTATTGTTGGCGGGGGTAAACACACTATTATCAGCTCCTATCTACACGGAACACCATCACCTTACTCCCCCACACCCCACCCTCGTATAGTCCTCTTTTCACAACTAAAGAACACATTTCTATTATACGAAATAGTGACTTATGTACACGATCACACAGCGGCCCCAGGATAGACACTTGGATCCTTAACGTTATCTTCACACGCGACACTATTTTGGCCTCTGAACACTTATCAGACACTGGATGCGGGATGGACCAGTGAGATTATCGGCACAGTTTTTCTCTTCGTCACTGTAGTGAACTGCTCCGGGTCCCGAAAGGGGTCCTGTGCCCTCGCAGGAAAAACGGCTGGAACGTGAAGCTGACCCTCCAGGGCCGAGGTTAAGAACACGTGAATCTTACTATCAGCATTCCGAAAAGACGTCCATGAAGTGGTGATTGGAAACAGGGAACTTAGCTTTTAACATAATTCAATCAGATAAATAAAAAAGTGGATGATAAATATAGTGCTGTGTCCTGACCTGGGGTTAATACCTTTGCTTTGCATTCTGGAGATACCAGGTTCGACTCTAGGTCCCCGAGATGATATTTCACTCCACACCCCTACACCCCCACCATATTTCCCCAAGATCCATTTCAATATAATTTCATCTATGTTTTATTCCTCCAGGATTTCCAGCTAAAATTGTGTGTTCATTTATCATTTCCCCCATGGTACCTAATACATGCAAGGCTGGATTAGTGCCATAATGGGATTGGGTGTTGTGGTTCCTGTCAGAAATGGAACCCCGGACTGTACAGTTTACAGCGACATATTTCACCGACTGAAACCAACAGCAATGACACCTGATGGTGAGTGACTGGGGCCTCGCCATATTCCGTTTTTTTCTTAGCAAGTAAGAGGCAGTCCGGAGCGGCTGATCCGGTCTAGCTGGAGGCAGGCATGTTCCAGCGATCTGTTGAATTGTATTGAATTTCACGGTGTCAAAATACGGCGGTACAGAGCCATAAGTAGCGCTATCAAGTTACACAATATGGCTGCTCTTTATTATTATTCCGCGCCCCGCTTATATCATTATACGCGTTATTACTGCTAAGTCGGAAAATGGAAGCAGGGGATATCTTAATCCCCAGTACTGATGTCTTTCTTGTCCAGTGATTTTCTCAAGATAAACGTCGATTTAACCGGGTGTTTATAAAGTTTATCAACCCATCTGGAACATAAGAACAGCCGAACAAGTGCCCCTACTTTATATTTTAGAGGGCGGAGTTCGAGTTTACTCCAACAGTCTGCTGCTTTGAGTTGTCTTTCTGCAGCAAAGGGTTATTGTCTTAAAATATACCACGACCGATTCCATATAAATCCTTTCCTTTTCGTCATTTTAATTAATATTTCTATTCAGTGTTATGTAAAAGACGCAACTAATAAAACGTAATTAAATAAATTGGGAAACATATATAAAGATGGATATTTAGAGTGAAATGTTCAGTTATCTGGCGTGTCCTTCAAAACATTGATAGTATTATAGGATTTGAGGTTTTTACGGCGGTGAGTTTGAAGATGAATCGACCTGATGATGGAGGCAACAAGGACCTCTGAAACATTAGATAATTTCTGTTAATACCAGACTACACGGCGCAACAACCCAGAAGACATTCAGCCATGTTCATTGACAGGATTTCTTTCTTTTTTGAAATGCGAAGGCGGTGTAACTAGAATCTGTTCTCGGTCTGTTCAACCCAGCTGGTTTCTGAAGAAATACAGGTTATGCACACATATCCGTGTGTTTCCTTCCTGCAGTGAATTCTGAACCGGATTTAACTGATGATACTTTGTCCATTGTAAGAGAAGAAAGGGCTTTCACCCGAACGGGGTTTATTGTGAACGACGAATTAGAACGAATGCGGAAGGAAGCAGATGTGATCTTTCGTAAGGAACTGTGTAAAACCACGAAATCCTAGGTTAAGATAGCCAAATCCCTGTTCAAGAAACAAACCCAGGGCCTTCCAAATACGAATCAGGAGTGGTAATTATCTGAACTGTGACATGTATTCCCCGTAAATCTTAGTACAACATAATTTCGAAATTTTACTTAATCTCGTACATTCGTGAGACACCCGGTATATAAAATAATAAACTGTGTGTACTTTATGTCATTACATATTATGTTCATATCAAAAGTCCATTAGATGGGCCTCTTAGCGCTGATCACACTTCTTACAACAGAAGACGGTGGAGGAAAGTGGCAAGAGTTTGGGGGAAGGGGGGAAGTAGACACTCGGCCTTCAGAAGGAAAGATTTCTGGAAGAGTAGTTAATGGTTTAGTGCAACAGAGGTTCATCTCCATTGTTTTTATGTATGGAACCTCAAATTCTAAAAGTGAATGTAGGATACTTGTAAGCACTGGGAAGCAGAAAGATGAACGCGCAGTGAGCCGTAGGGCGACTGTCGAGCTGAAGGTCCAGGGTTCGATACTGTAAGAATTATTTCCTTACCACGTTCATGTTCTAACTAACCTTTTGTATACTGATAGCTCTTTACCCGGGGGTATAGCAGACAGATCGTAAAGCATGTTTAACTCCAATATCTATAACGCGTGTGAGTTTAGAGCTCCATACTCTATCTAGGAAAGAGTTGTATCTGGAACTATGAATCCTTCTGTGTGATAAGGTTACAAGTTTTTCATGTCCAGTGTTTATCTGCACAACGCTTTGTGCTTGCAGTACGTACAAAGAATTTCGCTCCTAGAGACATTTTTTCGATGTGGTGTTATGGTTGTTCAGCGAAATACAAACGAAATCCCTTGCTTTGTACCTTGCAGTGTAAAGCATTGTGACAACGGGCCTACATTTGTATCAACTGGAAAAAACAAAGGGAGATAACTTATGAAAAAGAAAAAAGAACGTATCTTCAAGACACGTTTAATGGACGGAACTTATGTACGCCTTTCGCGATTCGAAATTTATAATTTTCTTCTGGTGTCTTTATATAGATTGGATAAATTCGCGGAAAGCTACTCCTTCCGGGGAAAGAAAAAGAATAATTAAACTGTCACTCGGGATATTTACTGACGACATTAGCTGACTTTAAGAAATCACGTGGACACGGCTAATGTTAACAGTAGACCTAACCTTAAATCGCGCATTTCGACAGTTGTAACATTATTTATGACTCTTTTAACGACTTTGGTAGGAGATTATATAGCATCGAATGGTAGGATAATTAATTAATAATGAATCGGAATGATTGTGGAAGGAAGTGGTCATGACACAAGGTACCATACCGACGTTTACCTAGATAGACTGAGTAAAATCACGAAAACTCTTAGTCAGGAGACCCGGTCTCCGGACAGATTTGAAACTGGGACCTCTGGAATAAGAAGGAGATGAGTTACGCGCTGGAACGGACGTTCGGTTTCAGATGTAGACCATGTGACTCGCTCCTACGGAACTGTGTACATGTATGAGTGAGTACCACTAGCCGAAGAAGGATTAAATAAGTTACCACCCTATTTAGAATAGACACAAAAAGGAAGTCGGTGACCCATAGCATTGTTAAGATTTGGAAGAAATGTCTTAAAATTTTTCTACCTCCCTGTTTCCTTGTTCTCTGTCTGATGGTTGCTAGAAGATTATGCCTTCTTGTACAGTATATATAAAACAATGGATGTGCACCGCTGCTACGGAACACAGCGCAGAATCCCAGAAGACAATCATCTTCGTGTCGTGAGAACCTGAAATCAGCTGTTATACCATTTCATTGTGTTCCCGGATAATATTAAAATGTAGCCAAATATTAATTCGGTCCATTCGCGAGCCTCTTGTTTAACTGAAACTTGCGTCTATAAAATCAAAATTCTATACGCACGAAAATGTAGTTGTGCCAGCTAAATGCAGAGTACAGACAGACCTTCGCTCAGCTGGTCAAAAAATTGCCCCAGACCACAAAGGTTCATTACCATATTTACAAAAGTACTGAAGCAATCGAATCCAGTACATAACTTCACAAATTATTTGTTTTTCGATTTTAATATTACCTTCTCACTAACTAATCTGTACGTATTGTCGACAAATAATTTCGTATTACTCCTTTCTCACATGCGTGCTACATGTCCCGCCCGTCCCCTTATTTTAATGTTAAACCTACATGCAGCGTTGTCAAAATCTGTGTGTCCTCTTACATAAATTTATAGATACTTTCTAAGGACGTTATGCCAGTCATCCACAGAACTAAATTAGCTGATAAGCCTTCTTCTGTAACTGCTTACTGTTCGTCGTGTCATCTTAAACCACCTTGTGGACGGGCAAAGTACCGAGTTAAACACACGGCATTCTTTACACTCACTTCTGAGATTTAAAGTGTCCACCGGGAAGTGAATATTTGCTGTTGCAACTTTGATGTTGGATGTGTGACAACGATTAACATAAACGTAATTTACTGTCTCATTTATTAGAACGAAGTCATAATTAGGTCAGCACGTTCCTGTGAAAATATGACAAATAAGGCACGGCGCATAAAACCAAAAGACGATCGATATTTTAATTAAGTTGTAAGTAATTTCATGTGATTATAATTATGTTTGTGACAGTGTACTTTAAGTAATATAGGCCTATATTAAGTACGTCTTGTACTCACCCACCATTTCTGCCGTACCATTAGGGGAAACACGATAATAAAGACATTTCAGCACAGTCCATACTAGAATTCCAAAGATTCAAACACTGAACTTCATTGCTGGTTGACTCTTTCTATATTCTTGACGTGGTCCATAAACACTTCATATCACTGTTCATAAATATTAATTTAAATTCAAAAGTCTGTAGGTAATACTGTAATTCGTGCAATACGAATTTTAATTCCGGTTAATTTGCAGAATCTATTAACACAAAATAAAATAACTTTATATTCTCGAATAATAAAAAAATCTCCAGTTACGTCTGATGTCAGAATAATGTAATGTAAAATTAAACATAATGACCAGTCCTTATTTACGATTCGCATCTTTTTATGTCACACCCGATTTCGGGATAGGCCGTTTCATAGTACAGACAGACACTCAGAATACACACGCAACCAACATTTTAAACATAGCACAGCAGTACGACCATCAAGAGGGCAGTGGTCGCTTGTCTCGTCTCACAGCCGAGCGAGTCGATCCGTAAGTCTCTCTGGAGGAGGAGCTGAACCAGCAGCTGGGAGGAGTCAAACCGAGATGCTTCCCTTCCCTACCCACCCCCCGCGCAACTGCAGACACATTCCATTCGCTCGGCCCTGCCACTGAACATCTTCATGACTAAAGCAACCGGTTTGGCCGAGGGCAACGTCAAAACACAAAGAGGAGTGAGTAATTTTGTTGTGGATGTGTTTCCGGCACTGAGCGACAGGGAATGGAGACAAATACATGAGCTACACGTCTAACTCATAAAATTCATGGTCCAATGTATCTTCGAGAATTTGAAACTGAAACATGATCTCAAATTATGAATAACTAGGGATATTTTAACACACTGGAAAAAATATATTTATTGTATTTTAATATGATTTTAGAATTGTGTGTCTTATGGAAAATTAAGATAGGCAACGGCTGGATAATTTATGTAGAATTATAGTAGACCATTCGATGTTAAACCAAGGGCTAGTTTTGTCACAAATTTAAGGAAAATTACGATAAGCTATCATCATGTCAAGTGTTAACAGTTGTTGGATTTAGGCCCAAAATTAGAAATATTTCACGTTATTACTTTTTATGACGGCACAAACAGGATTAAATATGATGAATAAATACCAAAATGCAATATATTTTAACAGATAAAGTTATATTCACATAGCTTTGTTCATTAATAACAGAACACAAATCTTCTGCTGTAAAGAACCCCCGAAAATGTATACCATGTTTGCAAAACCAGTCCGAAAAGGTTTGGCCGTGTGTAGATTATTAGAATATTTTACGTAATTATTTCTTTGTAGGTGTTTTATCAGGTTCCCACGGTGGCGAGCATAAAGATGGTTGTCTTCTGGGTTGTTGCGCCGTCTAGTCTGATAGACGTTAACCAATGTTTCGCAGGTACTTAATGCCTCCATCATCAGGACGTCTTATTTCCCTGCATATGACTCTCGTAAACGTCAAGAAGGACGCCATCATAGCGTTGCGGTAGCAAGTCCGTTAGTGCCGTGTGATCCGTTTGTAATTTGATTATGAACACTTATCATAACACCGGCTGACTTTCATAAGGGGTAGCATCCATCGCATAGAATTTATTTCCACATGAGCAAATATCTTCCCCACCGCCTATCTTACTTGATGGGAGGGGTGTCCAAAAACACTACGGTTATAATCCTTTAAAGTGCCATGGTAACTATATGTACCAGCTGTTTTAACAATCAGTAAATCCGCATTTATCCCACACAATGTATGTATGGGTTTCGTATGGTATGAGTCAGAATAAACAGGTTTTAGTTCAACTCCAAAGGGTTCTGACGATGGTGAATTACACTTAAAATTATTCATTGTCTGGACTTTTCCCATCGACTTTTTTTTTTTTTTAAAAAAAAGCACGACGTTTCGAAAACTGGCTCTATCTGACGGACCCAGCTGAGTAGGTATCTCTCGGCTAAAGACGGAAACAGAGTCAGTTTTCGAAACGTCGTGATTCCTTCTTTTTTAAATAAAGACGATAGAAAATGTCCAGACAATGAATAAATTTAAGGTACTTGTTCCTTAAACAACACTAACCAATTATAATCTTTTTAATGTCTTAAGTGTTGTTTTCTTATACCTCCACTCCACCATACATCTTCGTGGCGTAGTGTTTAATTATGTATAGAGACAACTTTGATTCACACCTTTCCTTTTAACGTTTTAGTAAGCCACGCGCTGTTGTAAATAATACAGGCTTGATATAAAAACATACAAAACGCTGTACTGTAAATGATTCTGAACATCTCGCTGAAAATTCTTGTTCGCTGGGCCCTATCCTCAGCCGGTTGAATCCACCCACATCTTAACATCATATTTATCCATTTTAATATTATTCTCCCATCTCCATTTTGATCCACAATGTGGTTTTCTCTTACACTGACGCTTAACGAAGCTTTTGTTAAGCAAACAACGAAAGAGGCTGCTAGCTAGAGACATATGATAAGGGTGACATGCTCTGCAGGGTTTGGACATCCCTGGGTTCTTACAATAGAAATGAAGATTTGTGGGCTTTATTGTAGCGGTGCGTTCTCAACATCACAACATAAAATTACACGGGGAAGGGGGAGAGATAGAATGGTAACCCATATACACGCAATGTGTGAGACGTCTCCGAAATGGACCGCTTTTGTAATCCTGAGTACTTAAAAAGAAATATTTCTCAGTGTGTCATAAGTCGGGCTGTGTAAGAGTGGGTTACTTACGCATATAGATGGTCTCATTTTGAAAGTAACCTAGTGGGGTGATGAATTGAAATGAAAGCATAATGTGATACGGGGACACCGCATAGTACTTTGTAATTCCCCATCAACGAATCTGTTCGCAAAATGTTTTATTATGTTTCTCTATCTGCACCTGCAGGCCCATTTTAATATCATACTTATTTATCTTCTTAAACTAGTTTGATTTTTGGCTTATGAAGCCTGTTGCATCAGCTGTCATCCAAGAATTGGGATTCCGATTTCTTTCTAAGACGACATATTTGTTTTAACTTTTATTTTATTATAATGCTATTTATAAAGCAGGACAGAGAAAATTGGGCCAGACATGAATCTTAATATTGTGTGAATCCGTTTTTCACCAAAGAGGGCTATTATTTTCTCAGTTATTTATAAGTTTATTTTTAAAACGCTTTGAGTAGCTCTGAATATACACTATTGAATGATACGATGAATGAACTGAAGGGATGTGAAAGGAAGCTGTCACGGTTTAACGGAAATGTACTATACCGACACCTGTTTTCGAGGAACTTAGGAAAACAACGTAAGATATTAGGATGTGTGGTCTCCGGGCAGAAACGTAAAACTGTGACCCACTCACCGAACAGGAAGCTATAGGTCCAACCTTTCAGCGGCGATTTCCCGTAATACTACTAAGTAATTACATGTATTATGTACCTAAACAAGACAATTATATATCAATTACTCCATTCATACTACAAATCCTATTTATAGAACTTAAACTCGGTTCCGATGTTGTCCTCCAGTGCAAACTGGAGCATCAGAAATGTCCCTTTTCCTAATCAGAATTTTCTTTTCGTTATTTTCTCATGTCCATACTTGCTACATGTCCTGCTCATCACACGTCTTCACTTACACCCCAGTATTATAAACAACTCAGAATAAAGGATAATAGGATATTCCAGAACGTTATTTTTACAGAAACGCGGCGAAAGAAATGAGACTAAAGTATAAAAAACTCTTTTTTTTAAAGATTTATTTTTCTACAACAGCAACAGCTAAAAAAAATAGCTGACTGAGGCGTCTGATCTGTTCGTTGCTGGACCAAACACTCGCTGCCTCTACACTTCACCTTGTTACACACTCTCAGTGGATTTTACACCCTACAGAAAACCTATTACGTAGTCTATTAGCTCTCCTAACCTTGGCTGGGCTCTCTCCCATGTGAAAGATTGCCGCTTGCATTTTACTTTGATAATCCATTCATGTTGATCTTGCTGGGATCTCTTTTATATGCGCATGAAAAAAAAAGTCAAAAAGCTGTCGGTAGCAGAACAGGCTCCAGCTTTGCGAAAAAACGTGGACAGTCAGGAAAAGGGGAATTTTTACTTCGTACTGAAGGAAATAAATTGACCCTTAGTTGCTTAAAAAGACGAGGTCTTTTTTTTGTGGGAAGGAACAGAAACGTCAATTTTAACGATGGCCCTCAACCATTAAAGCCCAGTGGTAACTATATATACCACCTGTTTTAATAATCAGTAACTCTAAATTTTACAAACAGATTATATATTTATGGATTTCTTAAGATTCTGACAACATATAGGGATTACTTCCCTAAGAGGTAATTTTCACTTACAGCCCCTCGAAGACGTATGGAACGTGGATGTACAAACATAGTTCCACGCATTCTTAACATCTGCACAAGTGTTTAACTTTTCACGCTTCGGCCGCCTTACCCACGCGTAAATAAACCGCGGTTCCCGTGGGATAAAAGAATGTGTTCCGGAGATGGCGTGAAAGCGGAGCCAAGGAGAGAAATTACTCGCAGTGCCGGGAATCAAACTGCGTTCATCCACCGAAAAGTTCAGAGACAGTGGTCGGTTGATTGAGATGTCTCCCTTCCCCTCCTCAGCGTCATATGGTTTTCTCGGCAATAATTCGCTGGAATCCGAAATAAAGATGAGAAATCGGCCACGAAGTGACGTTTACCTCAGGTTTCCGGTTACGAGATCTCTCACGCTGTCCGCCTGCCTTCACACTTCAGTAGCAACTGTTTACGGGCTAGGATGTAGCGGGGTTGAATCCATAGAACGTCATGACAATACGGCGAAAAATTCAAACTAGCCGCAGATATGACGCAGCATGGGGTCTCAGATGTGTCCGAATGGATAGGGCGTAAAATTTCATTTCCTCCCCGCAGAGGTGGCTGTTCACACTGCCCAAGAATTCCGTCAATATCGCCTCGGTAAAATTTTCATCTCTCTTTAAAAGATTTGAAACTTTCATGGTGACCGAATGCAGTGGATCATTGACGAGCGTTCATCCGCGAGAGACTGGAGTTACCTAGTATCCAACGTTTCGGAGACTATATTTACATCCACCATCAAGGATCAGACTCTTAAGATGCACTCAGATCTATGAACAAAGACAATAAGTTAAGATACCATTATGAATGTTTTCTTAATACAAACTATATAATCAACTTGAAGAATTAGTCCAAAATCATGTTTCGTGCTGTAAGCCGAGTGGTTAATTTGTGGAGAAAAATACAATAGTATTATTTATCTCATTACCGAAGTCGGGACTGAAAAATAATCGAGAATCTGGAACCCTACTTACGATTATCAAAATAAACAGCAAGGATTTCCTTAAACAGCACACATCAACTGATGGTTGTAATGAGGAAGCCTGGTGATAAACGCAACAAGGACCTCTGAAAC